CGGAGGCGTCGGCTCCACCACGAGGGAAGGGCGTGTTTCTGGGAGGAAAAGCGAAACGGGTGGCCGTACGACGGCGCAAGTCAAGCACCTGTTTTCGACGCCTGCGAACTCGAGCGTAAGGGACCGTATGAAACCGGTTGCGACCGCCTACCATCCTATCGAAACGGACGGAATCCGCACCTCTGAAGACCTCTACCACCTATCCACCTATCCACCTACCCGTTTTACCCACCTACGACCTCCGACAACTTCGCCAGGGGAACGTATCCCGGACCGGCCGGTGAAAGGGGGAGAAAGACGTTCCACGGCGGCTTTTTTCCCCTTTTCCTCTCCCCCTTCTCCCTCTCTCCGCTGAAGCGAGGGGGATGGGGGATGGGGGCGACAGAGTGTCTCGTTTGATGATCTCCTTTCCTCCTTCTATCTTAGCTTGGTGGAATAGATAAAGGGAGGGTCGAATCGTCTCTTTTCCCAGCGAAAACAGCATCCTTCGATTCGCTACTCCACTCCTTTTTATCTGCCCCTATTTCCGCTCTTATCCGTGTCGAGTCAACCTTCTCTGCTAGTAGTAGTAGTCGCTCCACAATTTTATAATTGTCACACACTTGTGTCGGTGTGTAAATTAACGTATAGATATATCTCTCTGTATCTTTTATGTATTTAGGAAATGTAAAGAAGGGGAAGAGGGAGAGTGGATCTTTTTAATTATCATTGTCTTCCTAGTTTTGTGATATTATTATTTTATTTGCTCTCTAATTAAATTTATGCTCGCGAGTCGCAATAAAATTTGATTGACAATTTATTTGTCGTAACCTTATAAGATTGTGTTATTATAATTTCAACAAATTAAAAATAGTTCCGCACTCTTGGATTATTCCGTTTATTTTATCCGAATTTACGAATAATTCTGAGATCGATTAAAAATTGCGTGTGCCAAAAAATTATTTTTATTTTTTTTTTCTAAGGTGTAAATAATAATGATGACAATTTGTAAAATGCAAAATCGGTTGTACGCGTCTTGCGCGAGAAAAATTGTCTGTATCGTCATTAATGGTTATACAGATGTACGATGCGTCTAACGATGACAAGTTGCGAATCGAGTTCCTCTTGAATGCAAATTTATTCAACGAGAATCAGCAAAACCGTTCAAGCGTTATGTTCGTTTCACGCCCACCAGTAACGTTGACAATGTTCTCACGTCGATATTGAAACGACCGCACACGTTCGCTGTAATAAAATATTTTGCACTTCTATCTATCATTTATCGATATTTATTGAAATTTCCTTCACATTGACCAAAAATCTTAAAGTGATTTAAAATGAATTATTAAAACTACTTAAATACTTACCTTTCAATCATAAATTTTACTTCAACTTGTATCAAAAAAAAATGTATATTTATTAAATTTTTGAGAATTAGAAGGTATATTTACTCGATGGATTTAACGTTCATTGTAAAACTATTCTATAGAATTCTACAGGATTTAACGGATTATTTATTGCAGAGCGAAGAATAAAACAAAAATCAATATACGCTTGTTGGAATGTAAAATAAAGACGAGTCGTTTAATAAAGGTATTATTTATTTCATTCTTATATAATTTATAATCATTGATTGAATAACATTGGATAAATCTTTCTTTATCCGATATAATTACATTAAAATAATATAACACAGTGGAGAGATTGTCGATGGATCATCTATAGAACGCATTCTAATGGAAGAAGTAGATATCTTAATCTAAAAATATAAGGCACAATCAATGTTTTTTTTATTTATTTTTTTTTTTTTTATTTTTCAATGTTGTCGTCGGTTGGCGTCCGTATTCATTTCCGATTTTTTTTTTTTTGTATTATCACTTAATTATATATCAGACGCGTAATACCTGTATTGCTTCAGGACGAAAGAAAAAGCTACATATGTACACGCAACATTGTAGCGACGTGAGAAAACTATCAAAAAAAAAGAGAGAGAGAGAGAGAGAGAAAAAAATATACGAAACACATTTTCCTATTTCAAACATTATCATCCCTAGATCAACTTTTTATTATTCTATTCGTTCAAATAGATAAATACTTCAATTCTAAAAATGGAACAATCGATATAAGAGAGAGTCTGGCCATGGTATAAAGCAAAACTATACGTAGAGTTTCGTTGGAATCATAACGTTTCAGTTTGTTTCCTCGATCGATCGAAAGGCATCATCTATACTTCGACCTTGTACGGTGATCCAGGGATATGCTCGTCACCCCATTTTACAATAACGATGTATTCTCCCCTTTCACGAACCAAATAGTTCACGTTGTAATTGTTGCGTCCCGTGTGCTTCATGGACACCTCGTCGCATGGTCCTTTAGGCCCGTACACGCCAACGTAGAGAATATTATTGCCTGTAAGAGGAACGAAACGTTTCGTACACATTTCATACGTGACTTTTTAAACTTTTGAAATATTAATAAATTGCATTCAGATATATAAAAAAAAATTAATGAATCACCAGCGTCGCTAGCGTTCACAGTGAACACATTCTGTTTGCCCAAGTATGCCTTCTTCAGACCCATTCCTTTGCTCGTTACTTTGCTAGCATCCGATTTGAACAGTGGTAAAACTGGTCCCACTTGTTTCGACTTCGAAATCTTTTGAACGGTTTCGACCACGATCGAACTTGTTTCTTGAGCACCCCTTTCCGCTAGATCCGCACCTACGGTACAATTATTCTCAATTTTATTAAGATTACACGTGTAAGCATCGTATATGATGATCGTATATGGTATTCTTTCGTTAAATAAGTTAGTTTGCATTTATTATATGGCAAAAAATCTGTGACCGTATTTTCGTTCGAATTTTTGGTTGGAATGATATAAATGTGTAATTTCAATTGTTCAAAATAATTAAAATTTATACTAACCGGTGCAAGGAACCTTGAACGGTGACCCGACAATGTGATATCCATCGTATTTGATGCTTATGTAATAATCGCCAGGCACCAAGGGCGTGTACCTAACTTTGTAACCCTCCTCGACTTCCGTGCAGTCCATCGCGACTTTGCTAGGTCCGTCCACGGTCACGCATAGCGCACCACTTCCAGCGTTGCAGGTGTCGATGATGAAGTCTGTCTTTTGCCCGGTTTTTATCTCTTTCAAACCGTTACCGTATGCGTGTAACGCGGCCGGATCTGCTTCCACTTTCCCGACCTTGATGCGGAATGGACTGCCCTGCATGTGGACGCCGTTGAATTTTACGTGGATATTGTGAATTCCATTTTCTCTCGGCATAAATCGGACCGAGTAAGTGTCAGAATCGATCCCTTGAATGAAGCAATCGTCTTCGATACCGCTTGGAGACACTATCTATGTAGAAAAATATAATAGTCCAATGTAGTAAATATATGCGAAAAGTTAATTTAGGGGACATTAAAAATCGCTAGAGTTCCCCATAGATTTTTCTAGAATTTAGTATTCTGAATATACGTAAAATATTCAAGATTACGATAAGATTAAAAATATTTTGAGCTATGTGTAGTGAAATTAAATAGAAAGTTTGAAAATATACTCCAATATAATAAATATATGCGAAAAATCAATCTAGGGGACTCTAGGAATCGCTAGAGTTTCCTATAGATTTTTCTAGAACGTAGTATTCTGAATATACGTAAAATATTCAAGATTACGATAAGATTAAAAATATTTTGAGCTATGTAGTGAAATTAAATAGAAAATTCGAAAATATAGTCCAATATAATAAATATACGCGAAAAGTCAATCTAGGGAACACTAGGAATCGCTAGAGTTCCCCATAGATTTTTCTAAAACGTAGTATTCTGAATATACATAAAATATTCAAGATTATGATAAAATTAAAAATACTTTGAGTTATCGTAGTGAAATTAAATAGAAAATTCATTTTCAAAAAATATATTTTTTTTGAAACTAATTAAGAGCGACGACGAGTTATTTAATTGTATGAATGAAATACGTAGGAGCGAGACGCGAGTGGCTGTAGGCGCATGCGGAGAAAACCTACGCAATATGATGTTGACTACGTTGTTTCACAAGAGGAAGTTATTTAGAGCGCACGATTTTCGCAAGGACATTGTCGCCTAAAATGTTTGTGCAGATTTCTAAGAAAAACGAAGGTTGTTTGATGATTTTAGTTATTTGGCTAAAATTTTACTCGATAATTTCGTGTTTACGTTTCGATCCGGAACTATCAAAAGTTCCATATTAAAAGTAAATAAATAACTGTGTATTTAATTTCGATCAAACGTCACCACATATATATAATACAATTTTCAATAATAAATTATATTAAACGCAAACATAAACGCGTTTAAGGGTAGACAAATTCCTAATATCATCTGTTATTATAAAAATAATAATATTATTAATCTATATTTATAAACGATTAGAAGGTTTTTTATTATATATTCTCGTTTCATAAAAATGATTGATACCTTCGCGTCGAGTTCACCCTTGGCACCATTTTTGCGAACAAGGAAAGTGGCTGGCTTGTCCGGTTGCACGCCGGATTCCGGAAATTGCGCCACTTCGAGCTTATGAGCGTCGCCCATCGCCGGTGACACGTAAACCTTGTGTGGGGAATCGGGTATATGTTGATCGTTGAACTTTATTCCTACCCTGTATTCGCCTGAAAATTTGAAGAGGACAAGTTATTCCAGTATCCATATCGCGTTTCATATCTTTTTCATATCTATTCTTCTATCTTTTTTTTTTATTTATTTAACATGTAAATCGATACGTTAAATTGATCATTCCATCGAATCTCCGCCTCTCCATATATAATAGACTAACCATCGTCCTCGGAATTATCGCACTCATTTCCAGAGACGAGTATTCGCGTGGTGGCGGTAAAGGTGTCCATCTTTTATATCCACTGATACGAATAAAAGAAAAATTGGAGAGAATATTTATATTTTATTCTGTTTGTTTGTATATAGAAAAAAATTTGCGATTAATTAGAAAAATGGGGAGGGAGGAAGAGGAGGAAAGAGGGAGGAAATGAGAGACGCGAGAGAAAAGTTGAAAGTGTGAGAGGGAGAAGAAGCGAATAGAAGATAGGAAGGAGGAAGAGAACGGAGAAGGGATGTAACAAAGCAAGAAACTCGAAGAAAGAGGACAAAACGAGGAAAGTGGAGAGAACTGAGGCGCAGCTAAATCCGCGAACCACTATTTTCCTCAGCCTGATTCTAACTTCTGATCTCGATTCGTCCACGCTTTCTCTCTTTCGGTATCTCCGTCTTCCTCTCTTCCTCCGTCTCTTTCCCTCATTTGATGCACACCACCCAAATATAACGGCCCACGGCTAATTCACGTCCAGCCTTAGCCACTAAAATATGAATCCACCTTAGACGCAAATATAGACCAGAAGGTATTTCTGGATCGGCCAAGAACAGCCGATGAAGACTGGTGAGAGGCCCTTGTCCACCGCTCCTTCGGAACGGCTGGTATGCTCCATTTTTATCGGCGTTCATTCATTTCGTTAATACGTAATCCAAAAATTTTCCAAATTGCTTGTAAATTTTTGCTTTTTGGACATTTTTCTTTTTTTTGTGACAAAATGAAAAGGAAATTGGATCGAATCCCGATGAAAAAAATTGTAAAAAAGATCTGATCAAAGAAAAGAAAATTAATATTCTACGAGGTGACTGATTATTATGCATAGCATAGATTAATTTTTTTTCTTCTTTTCTTTAAGTGGAATAAATTTCTTTAATTATTCTTTGATAATAAAGTGGTTAAAAAAGAAAAAAAAATCGAATGTACGAGAATGTAAATTTTACGATATTTAAAATTTTTCTTCTTTATTTTTTTGCCTCTTATTCGTTATATACGATAGTGAAACGCCACAAGAGGATGATATAATATTAATTGCAATGATTTTAACTAAGCTCCTAATGACATGTAAACAGGAGTTTACAAACATCGCAACAATTTAATTAATATCGATGTTTGCATGATTCACTTGAAAATGATTTAGTAGTCCAAATGGGCAATACAACTTTCAAGGTGACTAACCGACTAAAATATGAATTATCGACGTTGGCAAACATCCATGACTTAAATGACAGTTAAACGGTAGACTGTTTTACGAACACTTATGTTGCAATTAGAGAACTATGAATTTTCATTATCTATTACTTAGTAACAACAAACTGCTCGTGACAATATTCCTGGGGGTATTGTTCCTGCGCCATTCAACTAATTCTTTGTTGCTCGATATAACTGATTTACTTTGAAGAAAAAATGAAAAATAGCATTACACAAAAAAGTGTAATGCTTTTAAAAAGCATAAGTATTCGAATTTCTTTAAACCGAATAAGAAAATTTTGACTAAAGATCATTATTTATAAATAATCTCGTTCTTTTTCGCTCATTATTTAAAAATTCGCTTCAACAAGCTAAAGTAAATATAAAATTTTTTTTTAACAGCAAACCACGCGCATTAAACATTGAAGTTAAGAATAAAATTATTTCGAATTAAGTCGAACGAGTTAATTACAACGAACAACCAATATTGTACGAAGAGCGTGTCAACTACAGCATTCTAAATAAACCTTAACCCTAAATCGCTTAACTTTATTCTAAAATTTAAACTAATTAATTTCTCACCCCGTCCAGTTCTGATCGTGCAAAAGGAAATAATGCAATTGTAAAATAATTTATAAAATATTTCTTTTCATTTTTAACGAACAATCATATTCAGAGAAAAAAGAAAAAGTACGAGGCCACTGCTATCTGCCCTCGCTAATAAAGCGAAAGAGACACTCACCGGGTTCGGAAACGACGTAGCTGACGTAACAGCTGCCATCTTTTCGATCCTTGAAGTCGATCTGAGCTTTGCTGGGTCCCTCGACGGACACGGCCAGAGTACCAGCTCCGGCCTCCCTCGTCCATATATTGAACTCGCACGGTTCTCCCTGCTCGCCCCTTTCCAATCCTGGGCCGCCCGCGTGCACCCTGTGCGCCCCGCCATCCCTCAAAGGGCCGACCGTG